ATGGTGGTTGGCTGGTCTCTTGAGTTTATTATAAAAAAAATAAAAAATTCCCCTACAACCTTGTAGCACATATTTAATGGCTAGAGACAGAACTAGTCGTTAAATAATGATCTGTGGCCCTTTTCCTCACATAAATGTCATAAAGGTTCAAATATATTAAATTTTTTTTTTTTGCATTAAGAAAATGAAGTTTGTTTTAGAATAAAATATCTTTGCATCATTTTCATAACAGTCGAACATCATTTGCCCCAAATTCTTATTAATTGTAACAATTTACAATTAATGTAAATTGATGTTTTTTCTCCTTTTTCTTCTTAATAGTGTGTGTATGTGTGAGAGAGAGAGAGAGACTATGTGTTTCTTTATTGTAAAGAGTAGGCAGATGCGTTTAATTTGTCAGGAAAATAATGCAATACAATTAAGGTTCTGAAAATCTGCTTGATTTTTTTTTTAATGCAAAATACTTTTTTTTTTCTTTTGGTTAAGGGTGAAATAATGATCTGGGAATATTCTTGAATATTCCTGAGATTCACCGAACTATAACCAGAAAATCTAACCACATACCCACCAAGTCAGTTGTCCCTCAAAGTTTGATTGTCTTTACGAAATTCTAATTACATGATGCCTGGACTGGTGTCAGATGGTCCATAGGGGGCAGTGTTTGCCATTACACTGAGTTTTGGTTCAAAGAGCCGTTTGATGGCTGTTCTGTTGGTCTTGTATATCTAGAGGCTCAGTGCACATTTGCAAAAACCTCTGAAGTTAAGAAAGTTAGTCATAATTGTCTTGACTAATTTTGTAGCAATTGGCTTCCATGACCTAATTTCTCCTCCTCTAGGATTTTGCAGGTAGTGAAGTTTTCTCTTGTTTAAAGACATTATTTATGTGTTGTCATGACGGTATTTTAATGCGCACACCACTCAGGATATTGAATTCCTGATCTGAAGTGTTCCTGAGAAAAGGGTTGTCACTTAGTTCTACTGCTTTGAACTCGGCCAGATTGTGTGTAGATCCTTTATGCAAAAGTATCAGACTAAAAGAAAAAAAGAAAAAGATCTGTTTTAATGTTATCAGAAAGTTAAAAAAAGATAATTTGGTACTTGATACAAATAGACATTTTAGCGAAGGCTAGTTTTCCAGTCCGATACATGTGGTGTTCCTCAAAGCTCTGTCCTCGGACCATCTTTGATTGTGTAATCTGTAACTGTAGAGAGGGCATTTTGCATGCGCAAGTTAATTATTTGAAAATGCATTAAACTGGATGACATCAAATTGAATATTGCAGCCCAGTCCAGTGATGGACATGTATGGTGTGGCACACAATTTCTTTATTTTATGCAGCTCCTATGTTAGCAAATGGTTTAGTTTTAGTACTTTCTCATTTAATCCTTGCCCCCTTAAAAAGATCAAGCTTCACATTGACATAAAATGACCCCAGTCTAAACCTTATTGTGATTCGCCTTGCCTGACACCACACTGAGAGTTCTTGGGGGGAAAAAAAAAAGTTGTCCCCTTTTTGTTTTAATTGTATATAGAAATTAAATACACACATTTAAATGAAGTTTGCAGTACAGTTTCCATATGATATTTAGATTTGTGGGTCACAATCAAAATAATGACATCAGTGGAGCCCTTGCAATAATAATGATCAGTGTGATTACAATGACACGTGATGTCCAGTTATATTGAGGGCATTTTGCTTTTTGTTTGTTTCCTACTGAAAACAGACAAGCACCCCCAACACCACACACACACATATTCAGACACGCACACCAGAAAAAGCATGTTTGGTTTGTATTGATCAGTTTGATTGGTAGGTATTGATTCTCATTGCTGCAATCATGCCATGCTGGAGGGAGGATGTTTTCAGTGCAGTTTGCTTTCTTTTCTTATTTTGTCTTGATTTCTTGCATGCTGCTGTTTTTTTTAAGAGAGTTCTTACTCTCTTTCCCAACTTTGTATAGACAGACAGGTGTGCTAAGTGTGACGGGTGGATAATGCTGGTGTGTTCTCCTGCGGTGAACGCTTGTCAGGCAGGCAGTAATACAGTACATTACTGTATAGGTGCTGATTCAGACTTTATGATGTCATCTCTGAAAGGGTGACTTTTAATGACATTTAATGCAAAATGTAACATATGTGAATAAAATATACAGATGCTCTGATTTGCCTTTGTGTGTTTTTGTTGTCTTTTTTCTCAAAAACTTTTAATCCAGAAATGTTACATTTTGTCTATATTAAAATATATAAATTATTAAAATATCATAAATTATTTAAAAAAATAAAATATGAGTAACTAATAAAATATTGTATAAAATTAAAATATCACAAAAATATTTTGCTCTCACTAGCTGCTTTATGCAAGCATATTTTATTACAATATTTATTTAGTAACACTTTAGATTAGGGAATACTATTCAGCAAGTTGCTGATTAACTCTTATTTAATAGAGAATATGTGTTCCTTAATCTAAAGTGTTACCATTTATTTATGTATCATTCAGTGCCGCCCCATAGGGTTGTGGGGCACTAGGCAAGATAATGAAAATGGGCACCACTAGTCTAAAAACTGTTAACATGCAGGAGGCCTAGAAATATAATTGTTCAGAAAATGTTTTCAACTGTTAATCATTTTCAAACATGTAAACCAGGCAGGTTTAAACTTACAATAAGTGCTCAACACTGATAACTGTCAGACTTTCGAAATCCTTCATCACTTGAATTAAGATTATAATATTTTAATTTTAAAGGAGACATTGGATGCAAAATATCTTCATTTGCATATAAATGTGTCTTAGCAGTGTGTGGACACAACCACCTTACAATAATCCCCCAAAAACCTAAACAGTCTCAATTATAAAGCCATTTTGATTTTGGAGTGAATACCAGCTAATTCCGTTACATGTAACTAGTTACTCCCCAACACTGTATATGAGCAATATCACTCTCGTACGAGAGCGATACCGGCTCTATATCAGCATGGCTGTGATTAGGCCAGAGGCACGAGGCCGCAGGCAATCACAGCCGCTGATATAGAGACGGTATCGCTCAAGTACGAGAGTGATATTACGTTTATACAACAGTCCGATGGCACGAGTGTAAATATATATGAAAAACAACAACGGAGTGTCTTTAAAAACCTTTTTGTGCGGAACTACTTCCTTCCGCCACGGATTCAAAGCTCAAGCAACAACAGCCATCATAAAAGCCATGCTCTAATATACAGCATTAAAGTTACATCAAATATAACGTGATGAGATTTTGCCTTCAGCCGAAACTATTTGCTCTGCAACAAAAAATAGATTACTGAGACCAAAGACTGCCAGTCAGATTTACCCAAAACAAATTATATCTCATGTTTAACCACTATAGAGACATT